CAGTTTTATGAATGAAGGAGTAGTCCTCAAACACATGATGGCACCATGCAACCATTGCTATTATGAACTATTAAAGCTAGCTATCTTCGAAACTCACTCAATCGACAGCTTAGTGCCTGACCACAGTCAATGAGGAAATCAAATCTCATAAGCTACAGTTTACAAGATAATTTGATTCTAAGAGAATTTGATAAATTTGAAACAGTTCGAGAAAAGACTGAAATAAGAATGATAATCCTAAACAGGAATGTTTCGCTCCATTAAGTCGTATAAATTTCTTTTTACTACCACAACTGGACTTCAGTAAATGCAGCGGCTGTGGCAATAACACATTTGACAAAAAGGAAATTGAATAAACTGAAAGCAAAAGTGAAAACTAAAAAGATAAACAGCAGGCAAGTTAACAGAGTGAAATAATTGTAAAATAAATAGCAACGCGCACCAAGACTAGCCGGTGCGATCATGCGTTTTGTGCAATTCAGCTCATCGAACGATTGCCTACTGATGATTTTCACTGCTTTGTATTTTAGTCTATGCAAAAACAGTTCAAACATTGGAAAACAATTAAAAATTTCTCGCACCAGCGCCTGAAAGCTGAGTTCGAAACCTTGAAGGGTGAATATCTTTCCGTGATTCCCGAGTTAACAGTTTACCTGCCAAAATTTTCACGGGACCGTAGATGATACCCGAGAGCGCGGGAGCGCTGAATTTGAGCAGGCAAGATTGAGCGTGAGCAGGGGGGTCATTACCCTAAAATTTTAGCCTCCTAAACTCCGTGGTTCCCGAGATATTAATTCACCCGTAAAAAACTTTCACAGGGCCGTACCTGCTAACCGCGGGAATACCAAAATTTCAGCCGCCTAGCTTTTGTGGTTCCCGAGTTGAAAGTGCGGGACAAAATGTGGGACACACACACAGACAACCCCGTGACAATATGCGTTTTGTAATGTTGTTACACAGCACAAAATGAATAATAACATATAGTACTGGAAATCTAACATAAATGCGCACTGTTGGTGAATTCAATGCGTGCTACTGATAAAAGAAAAGATTGGCCAGCGCGGGTATCTTCTGATTGAATAATTCTGGCCTAACTACTAATTACCATCTACGTGCAACGGTTACGGCGCATCATCAGATGTGGTACCATATCCTGTTCGACTGACTACTGAGAAGTGATATTCATATGAATTGAAAAATACTTAGAAAGCATACTATCTTGACGATTCAGTGCGCCATCATCGATCCATTTCAAGTGTGGTAAGTTACTGTACACTTTCAATAATGCGGGAAGAAGATCCTCAATGTGCTGAAACGGAAAGATTACACTTGGCCAGAACAATACCATAATGGAATAAAGAAATATTTCTTTATAGGTAAAAAAATCAGAAATAAGCCCAACCCCTCCGCTCTTTCTCCCTCCGTCCCCTCACTCCTCCGCCTTCTCCCCTTCTATGTTTTCGTTCCTTGTAAGACAGAAGAAGCCTGAGTGATAAGAAGAGTCATTCATAGGAAGACTGCTTCTCGTATCGAGTTTTGCTTGTAAATATGGCAGTGCAGAGGAGGGGGGTTCCGATTCCCTGAAATATGTCTTGGTCATCTCAGAGGCCGAATAAAACGCTTGGTCTCCAGCATGAAAGTAGGGCAGCGGTATTTATCACTTCACTTGCCTACGACAAGTAACACTGCCCTCTTCAGTAAATAAATGACGCTCTTTACATAATAGTGAATCAGCCATTAGGCATAATGTATGCGAATTAATGGACCGAAACAATTATTTCCAGATTTTTAAATATTCTGCCCTTCTAATTTCATGTTTTATTATGCGTTTTTGCATAAAGTAAGTTGCAAAAACGTATATTGGGAAGAGGCTGTGTGTGTGTTCGCACTTTTTATCACCTAATTACAACTCGAGAACCAGGAAAGCTAGAAGGCTGGAACTTTGGGGGTATGTGCCCATACCATGCGCGACCCTCCCGTTTTAATTTCATCCCCCTCGGACGCCTGGGTTCCGCGTACGGATGTTTTAAGAAAATATGCAAGTTTTTTAGCGGGAAAGCGATCCCGGGAACCATATGAGCTAAGGGGCTGAAACTTTGTAGGGATATTCCCTAAAGATTTCAAATTCAGCCCCCAGGTATGCGTGGTACTCACGTAAGGGCGTATGAAAGTTCTAAGGGGGAAATTGCTAACTCGGGCACTCGGAAAGTTAGAAAGCTGAAATTTTGGAGCAATGTTCCCTATCCAAGTACGACTCAAATATTTCAAATTCAGCCCCAAGCTATGCACGGTACTCACGTAAGGGCATATGAAAGTTTCTACATGAAAATTACTAACTCGGCAACCAGAAGAGCTGGAAGGCTGGAATTTTAGGCGGATGTTCCCTGTCCACGTGCAATTTAAAAATGTCGAAATCAGTTTTCCAAGTACGTGGAGTACTCAAGTACGGGTATGTGAAGATTTTGAAAATTGTTAACTCGGTAACCAAAAAAACTGGAAAACTGAAATTTTGAGGGAATGTTCCTTGTCCAAGTACAACTTAAGTATTTCAAATTCAACCTTGGGGTATGCGTGGTTCTTACGTACGGGCACTTAAAAGTCTTGACGAAAAAATTTCTCACTGAACGACTAGGTTACTTTTAAAGAAAGACTGTTAAATGGAAATTATACATTTACTTTGCAAAATTTATGGTGATTTATGCTAGTGGCCGCAAAAAGTAGGTGTAAAGCAACAGCTATTCATACAGTTAATGACCTGAGCAATTCAAGTCCGGTGCAAAAACGCATGATCGCACGGGCTCGCCCAGTGCGTTCCAGCCTGGGTTATACATTATTTTAAATGAAGTAGTTGTAATTACCATCATCACTTTTGATATTGCGAATAAAATTATCGACATCATTTACATTATTATTATTATTATTATTGTTATTGTTATTATTACCATTATCATTATTACTTTCATAAGTATTTCTGCCTTGTTACTAATCTTTATTTCTATATTGATTGGGCACTGAACGAGACAAGAAATACCCGTCCATCGGCATAAAGTAAGTAGATTCCAGTGGCAAGAATTTTTGAGCGAGCATGGTGGTTCAGTGGCTTATCCGTCACGTGAGCATCCGAGTCGAGCAATGTCTCCGAAACCTTCTCCAGCGAGACCTGAAAAACAGCAGATCGTCAAAAAAAAAAAAAGCTTTTATACTATCATCACAATTGAATAGACACTAGTCCCAATGCAAAGTTTTGCCCAATTTTTCCTCAGTAAAATCCCTAGTGGGGCACTTTTCGCCGCAAAATTGCTTGTCTTTCATAAACCTATTCTCACAGAAGGATCTGAACTGTTAGCGAACAATCAAAATGCAAATGCAGCTAACGTTTTTCAATTTTGCAAGACATATTGCGGAGCACTGGAGATTCTGAAACAAGAAATCCTCTTCGAGCACCATCTGCAACACACTCTGAGCCCCGTTCGCAGCGAAGCCACTATACCCGTAGCCTAAAATATAATATGTGTTGCAATGTTCGCCAACAATAACAACATCAGCAATTGTCAGGCACTCGCAATAAGTTGCCTTGCCAGTCAGTTACATATGCATCGGACAGGAGGTAAATATAAATAGCAACGCGCACCAGACCAGCCGGTGTGATCATGCGTTTTGTGCAATTCAGCCCATCGAA